CTTGCTCCTCTGCCGGCGGTAACTCGGGCCTGGTTCTCCAGCCGCCCCGGCGGCTGCCCCCGCCGCTCGTTCTGCGGAGCCCTGCGGGTTTTGCTGGAAGAACGCCTAAGTGGCTGGTTGACGGCGGGCGAGGCGCAGGGTGGCTTTGAAGCCTGCTATTTGGGAGGCCTGTACAGGAGTCCTGGCTAGGTTTCCGTTCTAGTGACAGTTTACCACTTGGGTACGAGCAGAGTTTATGTGTCCCGGTTCGCCAGGGTGGATGTACCTCTTGTTTTCCTTTTCTGTAAACTAGTATTTATACGTGTTTCTCTTATTCGCACCACTTCAATAGCCTTGAATTTTTGAAGGTCAAATAACATGTTCCCCTCTTCCTGCCTCATACACTCTGCATGCTGACAAGGGTTGGTGGTACTCGAGGAGTGCAACTCTGCCTTTTGTGTTTTTCCAGTTTTGAGGTTTCATTTTTCCAAGATATTTCAGAGAGGTATCAGCGTTGTTTGTGACAATCTTATATTTCAGTTCCAAATTCCCCTTGCTTGGTTAAATGTTGGCTCTCTGCTTTTATTTCAGATACGAAGAAATAGACCTTGAGACAGGAATACTGGAAACCAAAAGAGATCCTCTTCCTTCAGATGATATTTATCCTGTCCACATGATTTTAGATAATAAAGATGGCATACAAGGTTCCTGCCAGTATTTTAAAGAGAGAGTAGATATCACTGATCAGATAAGGAGGAAAGATTTGCAGCCTTGTTATACTTACATAGAAGCTGTTGAAAAGTGAGTGAAGTCCTTATATCTGGCATTAAAAGATTTTTAACTTAAGTTTTAAAGTTTAGTCCTCACTCAGTTTGTGCAGATTGTATCAAGAATGGTGTTTGTGGGTGGAAAGTGATCAATCTCTCCATTTTTATGTGGAACTAATAATAAATTATTACTATCCCTTCTGTTTCTTAGATGGGGAGAGAAACTAGTCATTGTTGCTTCCCAAGACCAGCGTTACAGAGCTTTAATAGGCTGGGAGGGGGACCCTGACTTAAAACTCCCTGACTTCTCCTACTGTATATTGGAGCGTTTAGGTCGTGCTAGGTGGCAAGGAGAGCTTCAGAGGGACCTTCACAGTGGGGCGTTCAAGTAAGTTTATCTCTTGCTATATGAATTGAATTAAATCAAAGCTAGTAAGTTTCCACTGGTTATTTATAAAGGTCTGTCCACTTGAGAATTCCTGTGTACTGATTTAAACTCATATCTGTATTGGTAGTGTCTCATCCCTGCTACCAGGAGCGCTTGGTTCTTGGAGCCTGTATTGCTAGAAGTGTACTGGTCTCTTCCTTGAGTTTGTGATACTTCCCGATATTTTCTCATGGAACCAGAGATTGTCTGTTGGGTCAATACACAAGTTTCTAATTTGTGGAAGTTCTTGCTTTCTCTAAATTACTTTTTCTTCAAATTTGGGATGGAGCGATGATTTTCATTTCCTTTTCTAAACTGCTGGGTAAGCATCTTATCCTGCCCAAGTTCTGAAGAGACTCTTGGGTGCCCACCTTTTGTCCCCAGCATTTGCCCTGTGTGACATCTTCCTCTATATGACCTGAACGGGAGCCCGTTACCAGCTCCCCAACTAGGCCGTGTATTTTGTTGATGGAGGAGCATTACACAGGCTCTTAGGGAACTTCTGGTTTTGTATTGCAGTGCTGGAGAATATTAGCATTGCTGTTAAGGGTTCACTGCTTTTAGGAGATGAAGCGTATGTAGATTGCAAACCACACTGGCATTGTTTTTTGCCACTTAGGAAGCTCTTTAGGTAACTAAGATGATGGGGGTGGAGGGGAAATCTTTTGTGGTTACTTTTCTGTCAGTTCAGTGGCCTGAGTCAGCTCACCGAGGAGTGAGATGAATACCAGAGCTTTTACAAGGGGGGCAGTGATTGTGGTGTAGCCAGGAGTTAGAAAGAGAGGATGGAGAAAGAGGGGCATGAGATACAATATTGGTTCAGCTGTCTCATCAAACCATGTCATGACACTGTGATTGTGCATAGAGACTGTAGGTTAAATCAGAGGTATTTCTCTCTGTTTAGTTGGATTAACTATGAAAATCAATTTCACAGGTTATCTCAATTTTGGCACTTCCTAATTTTGAGATTGTTGCTTTGAAAATTAACATAACGTGTTGCTAAGACCACAGGTAATCTAGGTAAAGTGTTTTTGGGATACTGGATAATTAGAATTTATTTGCAGAAGTTCCTATGCCTATAGATATCTTGCCATCTTTTCTTTAGAGTGGATGCTGGAAAAATTCATTATCACCGAAGAGTATTGGACAGAAACGGTCTCATAACAATGCAGTCCCATGTCATAAGACTACCAAGTGGAGCACAGCAACACTCAATTCTGCTACTTCTGACTCGCTTTCATGTCGACAGGTATGTGCCACTCGGATCTTTTAAAGACCTCCTGGGTAGACTGTGACCTTTTACTATGATGAAAGTTTGCTCTGTTGTCACAGAACCATCGAAGTTTCCTGGAATTGACCCTTCTCGATTTCTTTATCAACTCCTCTTTCAGATGCTGGACAGTTAAAGCTTACTTGTCTTGGAGCTGTAAACAATAGGGTATTCTAGTGCCTGTCACCTGCCTACATAAGCCTAACTCTTCTTATTGTAGCACTAGTCATTCTGTTAATTTTGAGTGTTCTCACTTCAAACATGTTTCTAATAGAGTTTGTTTGTTTTCCTATCTTGTTTATGATTAGAATTTGTGCTTCTGTGGATTGCCAATGAAGTAACAGCCTGAGCTTAGTCACTGTTCCCTCAGTCAGGGCCTCTTAGTGACAAATTCTCTCATGTGCTATTTACAGAAGGAAAAGAAAATTATAATTTCTAAAACAATCTGAGAACACTTCAGCATTCTTTCTCTAGTGACTGACATCTTGTAAAGGTACAACTCATGTTTATGAAGTTATATGCATGCTTACGTGTAATTTTCTTTTCTTGCTTAGGAGGAGCAAATATGATATTCTGATGGAGAAGCTCTCAAGTATGCTAAGTGCTCGTTCAAACCAGATGGAAACATTAGGAAACTTGAGGGAGGAATTGGTGAGATTCATTACTCTTTCAAATTCTCACTCACACATAGAATCTAGATGATTAGTATCAAAGGCAGTCATTCATACTGCCTCTTTTTTAAAGTTGCACAAGATTTTGGGGTAGGGTGTCAAAAGAAGGATCTTAACCTACTAGATCAAGTTACTGCTGCTGTTTGTGATAAGGAAGGAGTTTTATTGGATCCACAGTTTCAGAAAAGTTTCGTTAATGGATATCATCATGCAATTCTTACTTGCACAATGCTGCTGCTGGTTGCTGCTGCTTGTTTGGACGGTAGAGTTGGAGGGATAGAACACAGTCCAGAAGCAGCTCACACTCTCCCTGGTGTCTGTACCAGCAGGCTTTTGAGATCCTTCTTTGATATCCTACTCCAAAGTACTGTGTTTTAAGAACAGGCAGTGAGAATGTCTTTGATGCTGATCACCTAGAGGTGAGACTTTTGGGCTACAATGACTTTTGCCATTTCTCTTTGCATTAGGGTCTTTGTGAGAGAACTTTCAAACGTCTCTATCAATATATGATGAATGCTGGCTTAGCCAAGGTAATATCTGTCCCATTACAAGATATACACCCCGACGGAGGACCCTACAAGACAAAGAAAGGTAACTAGAACCACATTTTTGCTTT